GAGAGAAAATCTAAAGAATAATGTAAGCGTAGAAAGAGAATGTTGTAGGTATATATGAAAATAAGTACAGAAAATCTAAATTGAACATTCAATATTGCTGCAGAAATATATTGTTAAAATATATTGTTTTATCCATAACTTTAGTATTAAAATACTGAAGGTTTTGTCTATGGGAAACAATAGTCCTTTGCCAATATTTTTTTTTTTTTTGATGGGTGAAAATGAAACGGTAACCCCGCCCGCACCACACCTCCCTTTTTAATCATCTCCGATCCATCCGTGTTCCACTCCCAACTTCTATTCTTACTCTACTTTCTTCCAATGATCCTATTATCTATAAAATACTATCTTCATATATATATGATAACAATATTAAGATTTAGTTATATTACATGAATACATTTATAGTTGCATCAATTGCTTTTCCTATATATTTATAAGTATATTCTCATATGTACAAGTATATGTTTCATATCCTATAAATATCCTAGACCTAATCCTTATCCTTTCTAAATTCGTTTGTGTTAGGTATTTTTATTACTATTATCGTTTCCCCGTTTTGTTCTTGGCAAAATACCCTAATATCGGGGTGAACGCCACAAAAAAAGAAAAAAAAAAAAAAAAAAAAAAAAACCCCGCCCGCGCTAACGGGATACGCTGGCGCGGCACCAGTGATGGGTGATAGATGAGAATGAAAACAGGCCAGTTAGCCCATCATGATGAATTCATCAGGAATTAACCATGATAGTTTCCAGGGGGAACCGCGAGGAGGTCGACCTGGTTGGGTATATTGCTAGCAATGGGATTCTCAGTCTCCATTACTAACAATCTCTTTCCCCCCCCCCCCCCCCCTTTGCCAATATTAAAAAAAATCTAACGTATCTAAATAAAGACACCAAAATAACATTATAAGAACTATCAGAATGCCTAGTTATTATCAATCAACCATTTTTTTCACATACGTTCCTACTAATTGATTTCAGATTTTAGAAGTTCTAATGAAATTAACCTGTTCTATGTGGCGTACCAAAATACTCATGTATCTTGTATACATGAGTTAAATATTAGGCATATATTAGTGGAATTCGATGCAGTAGTTTTTGCGTTATACTGTAATGAAAATACAGACAGACAAAATTTTTATAAAAAATATTGTTTTGGCTTCAATTGCTTCAACTTATATATATATAAGATAAAATTAAATGACTACTTATTAACATAACCTTTGTTTTATTTTATTTTTTATTAAAGAAAAACCAACAGCTATACAATTTTGTAATACAAAATTAATTAACTTTCCTATTCATAGTGAAAACAGAAACAAAAAAAAATAACTTGTAGTCTATAATAGACTTATTATGTCTATTATATATTTATATAATAAAATTAAATATGGTATATTTAATTTTATTAATATAATAAAACTAAATGTAGCTGACAATAGTAATCCATGTCCATTGGCTGTATAAGAATCTTACCGTGCCTTAAAAACAAACAAATTTAAAAGGCGTCTACACTTTTTAATTAAAACTTTTTTATGTCAATGAAACGATGGGAAGTCCGCGCCGTTTAATGAATCATGAAAAAAAATAAACGACTACTCACTTTTCAGAATTCAGTAATAAATGAACCGGGAAAGAAAAACATCCTTTAGTTCTTTTCTTCACCCGCCATTTTGTTATAGGTGTGTTTACATTTTAAATTTCAAAATGGCGCCATGTTGACTTTTATAATTAGTTCTTTTGTAAGGAATTTCTTTAAACGGTTTATTTGTATTTCATTAAGTATATATTACTTTCGTAGGTAAAATAGAGTTTTAAAAAGATTTTAAAGTTATCTTTTATCGTTTGTAGTATATACGTTATAAATAACTTAAACTTCAGATAGTTATTCTGAAAAATTTAAATTGACCTCAAAAACATGGAGTTGGTGGAGAAAAATACAACCAAATTGAATAGAAATTCAATTTGGCTGTATTTTTTTATGTCTGTTACCTTATAACTTCATCAGTTGTAAACCTATTTGAATTTGTTTTTTTTTTTTCTAAAAATATATGCTTTTAGATTGGTTCTATAAACATTTTATCGGTATCGGTTAACTAGTTTAGTTTTTAAATTAAAATAACTGGGTTTTCTACGATTGAAGACGCCTTTTTTTATGGAAGAAAATTTTAATGAAAATTAACGTACAAACGCAGTTGGGACAATCTCTCGCTAGATGGAGTGACGACCTCAAATGCATTGCAGGAAGTTAGTGGATGCTCAGGTGGCTTAGGGCTGTTTCTTATGGCAGTTTATGGGGAGGTCTATGTTTAACAGTGGACAGGCAACTAATAATAATTGGATATAATTTTCATCTCCAATAAGGGATGCTGGCAGAAATGGTAACAATGGCGACCGATTGCCATTAAGGAAAAAGACTGATAATACAGTATTTTTTTTTATACAACTTAGAATGGCAAACAAGCTGACGGCCCACCTGATGGAAAGTGGTAACCGTCGCCTGTAGACATGAGCAGTACCATGGACATAACAGAGTATACTGTTTCACCCATGATACCCCCATGCGTTGCCATTCCTGAGGACTCAGGTGTTATTCCTCTGTACCCTGTAAATTCACGCTATATTCCACACTTCAAACTGAAACACAGCCATGCAAACACAATTGCTTCACGGTTGAAACACGAATGGAACAGAGGTACCCAAGCATTCGACTTTTGTACAAAGTCTCCCTCTGGTGACCGACCGACTGAAATCGACCGCTTTGGTACATCTGTCCCACTCAGAGATGTAGAATTAGAATTCATTTATATGCTAAAATAATGTACACTATTCTAGGAAATAAATAAATGCATTAATACCAGACGGAGACTTTGTACAAAAGTCGTTTGCTTGTACACCTCTGTCCCGAAAAAAGGGCGGTAAAGAGGTTTCTTCAAGGTTGGCAACCTTGAAGAAACCTCTTTACCGCCCTTTTTAAGAACCCCATGCTGTAGTCTCTTGGGAAAACCGCGACAGGGAGCTCATTCCATAACCTGAGTGTTCGTGGGAGGAAACATCTCTGAAACCGCGCAGTACGCGACCATTTAGGCTGTAGGACATGAGGGTGAACTCCCTGTCGATGGCGAACCGTACGATGGTAGAAAGTGGCCGTGGGCATCATATTGAACACATTTCAAATGATTTCTAATATATTAACACTACTGTTAGGAATTATATAATTAATCATCTTTTATAATTTATTTTCAATAGGTTTACATCTTTGATTATACAGATAGAGTGACAAATGCTTCGAGAAAGATGGGTCAAGTTTTTCATACAATTTTGTGTGATAAATAGTTGTGAGTGATTCCTTCTATATTTATACCCAAACAAAAAACAATTTTTTTAAAATGGATAACTGGCTTTACAACGATTGAAGTCTGCTTTCTTTTTGTGGGCACAATTTTTTTTTATACCTCTGAGGTGGCTAACCACGGCCCACCTGAGGGTAAGTTGTTACCGTAGCCTATGAACGCCTGCAATACCAGAGGCATTACACGCGCGTTGCCGACCCTGAAGAAACCTCTTTACCCCCCTTTTGAAGTACCCCATGCTGTAGTCTCTTAAATCTTAAACAATTTTAAATTCTTTACATAAATGCATTTCGTTGACAACATTTCAATTCTCTATATTTCTTAAAAATACGGACGAATTGGCAACTTACTTCTTTTGAAATTCGTTCAAAAATCTATTGAGTATATAAACCATATCGTAACGCTGTCCGATAATGTTTTTCCAATAAAATACCGCCAAAATCGATCCAAAAAATATGATTAGAGAGATAAAATGATGTAGCATCAATCATGTCGTGCCCTAATGAAAGAGATACGTTGCTGACATGAAGTAAAAATAAATATCAGAGGGAGACTTTTTTTTTTATACAATTTAGAATGGCAAACAAGCTGACGGCCCACCTGATGGAAAGTGGTAACCGTCGCCTATAGACATGAGCAGTACCATGGACATAACAGAGTATACTGTTTCGCTCATGATACCCCCCATGCGTTGCCATTCCTGAGGACTCAGGTGTTATTCCTCTGCACCATGTAAATTCACTGCCATATCCCACCCTTCAAACCGAAAAACAGCCATGCAAACACAACTGTTTTACGGTTGAAACATGAATGGAACAGAGACATTTGTAACAACTTTAAAGCTGCCAAGAGAAAATTTCACAATTGATTTAAAATTATTTACACAACTGGCCAAAAAGAGTAATGTTTTGAAAGTTTATGTTCGTATGTGAGTTTCTTTATTCCCCTATAACTTCTAAACGCTTGAATAAAATTGTATGCATGGGTCTCGTTAGAATTCTAACACAATCCCGAGTGACGCTGGCTATAAACATTTTTTCTTTTTCTTCATATGGCACGGGACAAAGTGCGTCCGCCAAAAGCAAAGTTTGGGAAACAGCATTTTAGTAAAGGGAGTTTTGAACGACGGAGTTTAGAATAAGGATTAGCAAAGTTGAATAACCATAAACACTTTTAAATAGTTCATATTCAAACGATTTTAAAAAAAGAATGTTTTCAATTCGATTTTATTTTTTTTTTTCGATTATAAACTGATTTGCATTTTTTTTTATGAAATGAAATGAATTTATTTTGCTAGAATGTAGGTAGTTTTCGATGAAAGTGGTTTACATTTCCCATATACATTCTGGCTCGAATGTCGGCGTTTATTTACATAACTCTACCTTATATTTTCCCTTATTAGTTATACTATTTTACACACATAATTTATTACAGTAAATAGAAACGAAAACAAGATTTATTTGAAAGGATTTATTTGTAGATTGGTCTCATATAAATTTTATTATAGTCGATTCAATAGTTCGATTTCTACATAAAAAAAAACTGGTTTTTCCACAAGTGAATTCGGTTTTTTGTCTAATAAAATCTACCTTTTAACTGTTAAATCTGTAATCTGTAATTAATATTATAATTTCTTTTATTTCAGGTGTGAAACAGTGTTTTAAAAGCAAAACTGGATTCAAAGAAGAGGTAAGAAATTTCCAAATTATAGAAAGAAATTTCTTAAGTAATACAATAGACTTAGTATAACCATAGATCATATAATAAATATATGATAGATAGATAGATACTCTTTATTGTTTCCTCCAAAAGATTACCATAGTAAACTTATTATAGATACAAACAATTACAAGAAATAATCACAGTGAGAAAACAATGGGCGACCTTATCGCTAAGAGCGATCTCTTGCAGGCAACCTTTGGATGGAGAGGAGTAACTATAAACAATTTGAAATTAAATTAATTAAATGATCGATTTTATAATTTAACTGGTCTAGTTTTAGATTATATAGACAATGTCTCCATACAAATGTTGCGAGAAAAGAGGGTCAACATTTTTATACCATTTCGCCACAATTTGGCATGCAAAATTTTAGATACATTATGTATAACATACTATATATATATATATATATATATATATATATATATATATATATATATATATATATATATATATATATATATATATATACCTAAGAACAAGGAAATCTTTGTATAATACCAACTGACTGTTGACGCCATCTGTTGTGCGCACAAGGAATAAAACGTCACCGAAGTGAAGTGAGACACGGACTGTCTGCTATTGCGGCGATGGACAATAACTTCACTCGCTCTCGAACTAACGAATTAGACCTTGTAAAATTATATTATATAAAATTTCTTATAATAAATGCACATTCGTCTAAATTACAAATGAACGAGTTATTAAAGATTTCTTGCACCCATAAACGTGCATACATAGAAACGTATGGCGAAGACGTAAACACCAATCTAGAATTGACTAAACTTTATTGACTGGTGGGAAAGGGATTGTTAGTAATGGAGACTGTGAATCCCATTGCTAACAATATACCCAACCAGGTCGACCTCCACGCGGTTCCCCCTGGAAACTGTCGTGATTAATTCCAGATGAATTCATCATGATGGGCTAACTGGCCTGTTTTCATCCTCATCGATCATCCTTCACTGGTGCCCCGCCAGCGTATACCGCGTTAACACAAGTAGAGTTACCATTCCATTATCATACGTTAAAAAAAAATATTAATGATAAAAAAAAAGGTTGAAATAGAAAAAAATGGTAATGAAATAATAGAAAAAAGCTTTCTTTAACAGACAATTAAAATTCCAGGGGAATTCCAGAAATCGCGATTTCTTAAACTATTGTAGTGTTGTGCGCCTATAAAGACTTACCCTCTTAAAAATAATCCGCATTCAGTAGGGAGCGGCCGCCATATTTTCTAATAAAAAATAATTTGTCAGAAAACCAATATGAAATCTCTGGGGAGATTGAGGTGCACCGGGGCACTTTATACATGGTGTTCCAAAATTTTTGTTAATAGATTGTAGGTAGTCAGTTATTTAGAAGCGAATGAAAATGTACATTTTTAAAGCTAACCCCTTTTTTTACGTCAGGAAAAATGTATCATGCAGACCTACACAGCTTAGGGCCCGTGTGGATACTGCCGGACTTCTACCGGCTAAACAACCTGACAATATACCTCCCATCTCATAATAGCGACGCTGCCGCGGGTTCCCGCTTTGAAGTCTACCGGGACACCACCAGAGACCCATCAAAGGGTGACTCCCTGTAGGTTAAAGCTAACCCCTATTATAGTTCAATTTTAATTTTTTTTTATGCAACTTAGAATGGCAAACAAGCTGATGGTCCACCTGATGGAAAGTGGTAACCGTCGCCTACAGACATGAGCAGTACCGTGGACATAACAGAGTATACTGTTTCACCCATGATACCCCCCATGCGTTGCCATTCCTGAGGACTCGGGTGTTATTCCTCTGTACCCTGTAAATTTTAATACTGAACTTTTAAAACTTTAAATGCATTTTAACAGGTAAATATAACAATATTGTCAACCTCGTCATATGTATGTCCACTGCTGAACATATGTCTCCTCCTTGGAGGGTTTTGCCAGTAGTTGCCATGCTTGGCAGGCGGATTGGCAACCTCAGTCAGTCTTCAGAGATTTTTTAAGAGAGACGCTGCTGCCCATTACTCGCCCTCCCTTAGTTGCTTACGGCACTCACGGGAAAGGAAGGGGTGGACTATTCTATGCCGGGACCACACGGTGAAGCGTGATAGAGTTAACATATTTATATGATCATCATGTGCACTAGTTCTCCATTGTGAGTGTTATATATATTTGCAAGTCAGTGTGGATACGTCTGTCACTGTTTATCTACAATAATTTTTAAAATTTACTTATTATTTATTTATTTTTCGACTGGGAAAGAATGCTATATAGCATTAAGTCATATAGGAATCTTTATTCAATATTATGTATATATATATATATATATATATATATATATATATATATATATATATATAGAATATTATTGTTTGTCACCATACACCATTTTAACAGCTTAAACAATCACTGCGAAATTTGGTATAGAAGTACAAAATGGAATGGAGAAGCATGTAGGCTATTTTGTCCTGGTCAATGAACATACCCCGGTCACGTGGACGAAGTTGCTGGTAAAAACTAGTGTTTTTTTTTATATAAACTACACTTATACAATTAAATATATGATAAGACAATATTTAAATGAAAATAAAACAAATAAACAATTTGTTCGCCCCTAAATAAACCCCTTATTAATAGCTGTAAAGTTACCAAAACAAAAATTGGTTCCACGATCCAACCCCTCTAATAGATATTCAATAAACAGCCTGTACACCAGCCCCGCAAACACTCCCTTTATCTCCTCATAATTGGGCTCAGTGCTCACCATTGCATTGGTAAGAATGCACGCGTTTATTTTCAATAAAAAAAAAGTTGACAGATCGTGTTTGCAAAGATAGAGAACATTTTTATATAGGGAATATTTTTTTTTAGTTTATTTTTTAATTGAAGCATAGAGTAGATTCGCGTTGTGCATTTTGAATATCAAATAAAACATTTTTGAACGATTTTCAAATTGGGTTTGCGCGCGAAAACGTATAGTTTATTTTTAATCTGTGTTAAACGCTTTTGTTTTTTAATTAATAGTGTTGTGATCTATGTGACTATAAACTGAAGTGATACGAGGTATTCCAGACAAATTATCTTTTTGAAGACTAGGCAGCATGGTCTCCGACCTTAGCCTGTTCCAAACGGAACAAACGTACTAAAAAAAAAAAAATGAAGTGATACGAGTTTTTTTTTGATGTACGTGTTTTTTAATAATTAATCAAGTAAGTTTTCTATTGATATTTTTTTATACAAAATATGTTTATTATTAACGGGTATCTTCCGCCCCATTGCTAGCAATATACTCGGAACAATCACAGTAATTAGACTAAACCTTTCTCTACATTTAGTACAAGTTCACGAGTATGACGGAAAATGTTTGAATTTTAATGTAGGGCACACGCAAAAGACAATAACATTTACGAACAAATATTGGGAACTATTTTAAATGCCTTCAAATTATATAACAATTTTGTGCAACAACTTTTGTGCAAACATCTTTGCCCTAAAAATCAGGTTCAGGTCACATTTATCAAAAAAATGTCGTTATCTGTCCGCTGATGAATATAGGCCTCTCCCACGAACTGTCATAGGGAAAGGTCATTTTTCTCAATTCATAGCAGGCTAGTGTATAGAAAATGTTTGATATGTCAAATATTTGACAATAACAAATTTGACATTACTAGATTATATATTGGACACAGTTTATGTAGACAGTATGCGAGTAGGTTGTATCTGAATTTGGTTGGGTTATACGGCCGTATAACGCTTTCTATACGCTAGCCTGCTATGAATTGACAATTTTATCACTCCTTCTATTTAATTCCTTGTTCTTAGGGAATAACTTAAAAATCACAGAGTAATTTCTTGGCATAGACAAGTTAGGGAGGACGTCGTTTTCATATAAATCAAACGCTAACAGGAGTAATAGGCGAATTTTCAATTAGCAAATTCCCTAAGCAAAGTATGAAGGTAACTTGTGAACTTTAATGGAAGACTATGATCAAATTCTTTGGGAGTTCCGTCAAAGGGGCGTCGGTGGTGGACGTTTGTTTGAGTTGATTTTAATTACAGCCGCCTCAGCTTCCTCAATATGAATCGATTTATTTTAAAAAGAAGATACGAAAGTAGCGACCTCTAATTTATTTAGCATATATAAGTTAACGGTACCTTTCCTGCACATCTTCTCTCTAACTACACTGGGTTTTTTTTTTTCTTTTTTTGATGGGTGAAAATGGCACGGCTACCCCGCCCGCGCCAACGGGACACGCCGGCGGAGCACCAGTGAAGGGTGATAGATGAGAATGAAAACAGGCCAGTTAGTCCATCATGATGAATTCATCAGGAATTAACCATGATAGTTTCCAGGGAGAACCGCGAGGAGGTCGACCTGGTTGGGTATATTGCTAGCAATAGGATTCTCAGTCTCCATTACTAACAATCCCTTTCTTTACTGGGTTAGCTGGCAGAGATCTCTTTCAGAGATAAGTCCTCCCTTACTAACAAATTGTTCAACTAATCGTCGCATGTATTGTTTAAATGCAATAAAGCATATATATATATATATATATATATATATATATATATATATAAAGTTTTTTTTTATGCAACTTAGAATAGCAAACAGACTGACAGCCCACCTGATGGAAAGTGGTAACCGTCGCCTATAGACATGAGCAGTACCGTGAACATAACAGAGTATACTGTTTCGCCCATGATACCCCCCATGCGTTGCCATTCCTGAGAACTCAGGTGTTATTCCTCTGTACCCTGTAAATTCACGCCATATCCCACCGTTCAAACCGAAACATAGCCATGCACACACAACTACTTCACGGTTGAAACACGAATGGGACAGAGGTGGGCAAGCAAACGACTTTTGTACAAAGTCTCCCTCTGGTAAAGTATGTTAATATATTATTTTTATAATTTCTAAATTGAAGCTATAGTTTTTTTATACATCATCAGCGTCATAAGCTTTTAACTGTCCACTGCT